GTAACAATGGGCTGCCATGCGGGCTCTTTAAAACTTAGCACTTGTTTGTCTCTGGGATTTTTTTCATGGACGTAGGAACAGGGTCCTGATGTACAGCAGATGACCTAATAAGACAAATGAGACCCTAGGCGCAGGGCAGAACATACACAGTCCCTGGCGAGCTGTCACAGTGTTCCAAGCTGTCACAGTGCTCTGGCTTCGTGAAAGGGGGGATGGCTTTGAGAGCACCTCATCTCTATCTCTATGTAGCAAACTCTTACCCATCCCTTAAAGCCTAGTTGTGGTGTCACCTCCTCCAGGAAGTAACTTCAGTTCCCTGGGCCAGCGCCAGCCTGATCTCTGGACTCCCAAGGTTCAGTGTGAGGCAAGACTTGGTTCTATTGGTTTGCCTGCTGACCCTCCTTAGCTGCTCCTGCCCTAACAGACCTGTCTTCCCTGCATATTCAGTCCCTGCCTCTCCCTCAACCCCCTGCAAGCATTTTTTCATCTTGTTCTGAATTAACCCTTCTGCTTCCAAGGAAATCCAATTTGGGCCAAGAAACAGTAACTTCCCCTGGCTAACCAGAAACACTTAGTTGAAAGCTCGTGAAGACTGCTTTTCTGTTTTTTCTTCTCCTTTAAGCCCCATCTTCCCTCCCACTCCTACCTTGCATGTTACTAAGCCATACTCTCTTCCCCACATACATGCCCCCTCCCCATACCCTGCAGCACTGTTCCCCTCTGCCAGAGATGAGGTTCCCACCATCTCGTCCTATAGAAATTGACATACTCTTTGGAGCCCAGTCACCATGTTTTACCCTCCATAGGGCCCCCATCCCCAGGCCTTTTTTCTGCACCTCAATGGAAAGCGGGGTGTCCCCTCCGTGCTCCCTATTTCTCTGGCTATGCAGAGTCCTATGCATACTGGAGGTACATCAGGGATTCACCGGCACCTGGACAAGGCTCTGCTCAGTCCTTCGGTGTCCTTCTGGCAGCTGGGCCTAGGGCACACCACACCAGGAACCACACAAGGGCTGTTGTCTGGGATGCTGGGGACTCATGTGAGGGCTAGTGCAGCAGGTACCCATCCTGGAAACAGCATTGTAATTTCTTCTGGGGTATCACTGCCCTGCTCCTGCCCATCCATCTAGTTTGAGTGGACTAACCAAGACATCAGACAGGTCCACTGGCCCAAGGCAACCTGATCAGATGGTTGTCCTGCCCTAGAGAGGCCCAGCCATGAACAATGGGTGAGCCTGAGCATCGGGAGCACGGCTGCCATGTTAGCCATGAGTGTGGACAGGAAAGACAAGGAGAAAAACAATGAGACAAAGTCAGACATAGAATGTCCCCATGAAGTCCAGGTTATGTGACACTCGTGCTCCCAAGAGGAACCAACACAAGTAAGCCTAGTGGGTGGCAGCTCTCAGAGAAGTCCCAAAAGAGAGCCAAAAGGTCTGAGGGGCACCTTAGCTCTGTTGCTTACTAACCAAGCTGAAGGCTACAGATCATATGCACATGGCAGTTAGTCCACTACTGTCTCTGTTTTGTGCTGTTAGGAGCCCTGGTCTGTAAAATATGGCAAAACAGGTGACATTCAGGCAGTGGTAAGCCTCAGACAACGGGAAAATACAGAGAGGGAGGGACACTGGCAATATAGGCAAAAATCTTACATTTGGAAATGAGACTCAACTTGAAACGTGTTTAAGCAGAGAAGGCATCAGCCCTATAGCTGGAGAGGTCAGAGGCTCATGGCTTTGTCACCCTGCCTGCCCGTGGAGTGGGCTCATCCTCAGATGAGACTACACACAGGTACCTTGGCCCCAACCACCCAGGCCTAGTGGATTTTTTGTAGGGACGAAAAGTGTCTTCACCAACTTTCCTGACAGTCCGGAAACTTTGTTCCAGTTCTAGAGGCCATCAAGGGCCCTGGCTAAGCCTAGGTCATGTGACCATCTAACTGGGAGCCAGGACAGAGGGAAGGAAAGGCCCTCCACCTCACCCTAAGCACAAATGGGCTGTAAGTGGGGGAAAGGGCTCTCTAGGGAATATGGGTGTATCACTCAAACCTAGGGTGGGGTGCTGAGCAAATAAGAACTTCAGGTGTGCCCTGCAAATGATGGGCCTCAGTGTGGAAGGCTGGGAGGTCAGAGCAGTGAGTACCAAGCAAGCACCCCGAGCGAGCGGCTGCCCCAGCTGAGGCGCCTTATGCCACATGATCGTGACTCAGCAGAAATTCTTGGTTTTTGCAACAAATTCCCTCTGCTTCCCACTGCTCCATGTCCCTGGGGCTGCCCAGCTTCTGCTAGAAGTACCGATTGCCCTGGTCTCCGCCAGGCCCCAGAGAGGCTCTTTACTCTGCCTGCAGTCTTTCCTTTGCCTAGTCCTTTTCTTCCCAGGGCAAAATCTGGTGACTGCTGAGGGGAAAAAAAAATCAAAGGCCACCTTGCTCTTATGATGCGACTTTCAGGCAGCAGTGTTGCTGTCTTCTGTTCCCAGGCAGGCAGAGAAAGACCAGGACAGCTTGTTAAAGGCCCTAGTCAGGCTCCAGAGACCAGCAACCCAAGAGGCTGAGCCTAAGGTGTCAGCAGAATCCCCCGACCATGCTCAACATGTCTCAACACCCACAGAGGCAGCCCCGGAAGTTGGGGGTGGGGGAGAGAGCAAGGGTGGTCAGCATTGAAGGCCATGCTGTGAGAGGAGGCTCCGCCCACAGCAGGCTTCTCCTGGATCCTTCTGAGCTCTGATGGTCTGAACCACCGCACACTGGCTGAAGAACGGGAGGAAAGACAGAATTCTTTGCAGGAGAACGCTAGAGACATCCTGGGTATGAACACAGAAACCAGACAAGCCAAGACTGAGCGGCCTCACTGGGAAGAGCTGACAGAAAAGGGAAAAGGGCAGTTTTGACAGAAGCCACTGTGCAAAAGGGCTAGGTGGAGACTGGGGTGTGGGGAGAGGAAGCTGGGGTAGTGACAAGACCACTGTTCACAAGTTCCAAATCGGAGCGTGTTGAGGTCTCTGTATCACCTCTTCTTTTCCAAAATGGAGTGTACTGAATGAGATACCCCCTTCCTTCTGAGATGGACTCTAGGAGGACTCTGGCCTCCTGGGAGAAGTAAAAACAGCTTGACTTTCTAGGAAATAATCGTAATGTGAACATATGTCATGACTGTTAAATCAAGGTCTCTTCTGAGAAGTTACGATGGTGGTAAATGCTTGGACTGTAGCCATAGTCAGGTGGAGAAGTGCACGACCTCCACGCACCCATGCTACATGGCAAAGTGGTTGAAGTCCGTTCATCAAGGAATGCTACGATACCAAACATCCCTGCCATGCCCACCCCTGAGGTCAAAACACCTTTCTTTTCCTCCTTCACGTGACACTTCAAATTTATCGTCGAGAGAAACATAAAATCCATTTTTTCAGAGATTCCTAGCTGAGTTTGTCAGAGTTTTTCATTGTCAGACTCAAAAGTTATGTAGCCTGGGGCTGAAGAGATGGCTTAGTGGCTAAGGGCACTTGCTGCTTTTGCAGGGGACCTGGGGCCAGTTCCCAGCACCCAGATACAGGCTCACAGCCATCTGTAACTCCAGTTCCAGGTTATCCTACACCCTCTGCTGGCCTCCACAGATACCAGGAACACACATAGGCTAGTTGTAGATAGACACACACACACTATATATATATATATATATATATATCACGTTTTAAAATAAAAGTCTGGTGGCCTCAGGTCCAAGGTGACCACACTGTGCTATGAGACAGCACGCTCACCCTAAAGGATGCTCTGCTAGGCCCACAAGGCCCCCTTCTTTCCATCGCCTGTGCTGGGGCCATATGTGGCTCCCAGGAGCAGTGAGAACATAAGCCACAGTGCCAATGGCAGCAGCTATGTGTACAATGGAAGATGTCATTTGTCCTAACTCCTCCAAAGAGCCTCCTCAGGACCCAGAGCCCGGGGTGGGAAAGCTCAGCATTCTGGGAAGACAGCTACTGCTTCATTCCCCAGAACCTACATTGGGGCACTGGGAAAGAGGTGGACAGCAAACCCTCAGGACAGCTCTGTGTACATCCCACAGGGTGACTACCCTTGACCAGGGCCTGCTCCTAGGGCATCTCTTGGCTATGTGGTCTACACTGGGGAAGCCTAGAAGGAAAACTTTGCATCCAAACTGGATCCTTGGAGCCCCAGGGCTTAGAGCTCACACATTGGACACATCCCTCCATCTCTCCTGGGATGCAGGACCCACCCAAGGGCAGAGCCCCACTGACCCTGGCCAGAAGGTGCTGAATGGTGAATTCGGGGAAAGCAAGCATGTTCTTAGTTTCACTATTTCAAATGCACTCTGAAGTAAGCATCCAATCCTTTCTGGGCTTTACATCTGGAAACTACTTTGAGACTTGGGCAGAAGCTGCTGGTCTGGTCCTGGCCAGTGGGTATCAGCCACTAGCCTTGATTCCCAAGCCGCCCTGTCATAGTGATCCTCAGAACAGAATATCTGGACGTCTCTTAACAACATGTCTGTGACTGAGAAAGGAACAGTCACACTCAGTCTAGATTTCTTTCATCTGTGACCTGTGATCATAAATGCAAGTAAACCCTGACTAGGCCTGCCTGGCCACGCTCACCTGTCTCCTAGGCAGGCCAGGTCTCTCACTAGTATAAAAAAAAAAAAAAAGAGTAAATTGGGGAAGTCAGCAAATTCCTGACTAAGTGCAGAGAAAGCCTGATAGGCAGATATGAGTCTTGCAGGGCTCAAAGACAGCTCTGGAGAGGACAGAAAGACAGCCCTGGAGAGGATAGACAGCACTGAGGAGGGGCAGGGAAAGGAGGGAGGGTGGGAGGGGAGGGACAGTGACATCGTAACTCAGTGACTCTCCCAAGCAGAGAGTCACTCTTTACCTACATTTTCTTAGATCTACGAGGGCTTCATTTACACTTCTTCCAATGTCCAATTCAGAAGATGACAGAAGACCACTTTCTTTGTCATGTCAATGAAAGACGTTAAACAAGCAACTAATCTTATCATTTTTTTTATTCCATTGATGACTAGTTACTGGGTCCCACTGTATCACCATGAATGGAAATCCCTCTATGGGTACCAGCATCTGAAGATGACCATGTCCCTTCTATAAAGTGACCTTGGGTTTGCATAGAACTTGTGAGGTCCCTTCTGCTACACACTGACAGGCATACCCACGTCACTTATCATGGGGATGCAAAGCAAATGCCATGCAAATAGTTGTAGAGGATTACCTAGGGAAAGAGACAAAGAAAAAGTCTGTGTTAAATGTAGATTCAGCTCCTGGTTTTCACAGCATTTCAATCTGTGGCTGGTTGAACCCACAGTGGAACAAAGGGCAAACTTACATACATATATGGTATATAAAACAGAAACAGGTTCATACACAACGCAGCCATGTAGGACTTGCTGTTGTCTGCTGATTAACTGCCCTGGTTTGTGGCCAATCCAAACCTCAGAGCCTCGCTGGCCAGTCACATCACACAGGACAGGGCTGGAATCCCCAAGTCAGGGCTGTGCCTTACCCAGCAGCCCCTCTGCCTTGCTTGGCAGCAGAACTTCCCGCTGCCAGTCCTCCAGCTCCCAGCGCTGACCACAAGAACTGCTTTGCCATCTGGTTTGACCTGATTTCTCTCCTTTTCTTCCTTATACTGCAGGCTTGGGAGTCTGGGTGGGTGGTGCAGACGCAGCTGAGCTGGCAGATCAGTTGGGAGGCAGACTTTGCTCTTTTAGAGGCCAGCGGGCAGTCCCCTGGCACCAGGCCACTGGGGCCTTTGTGAAGGTACTTGGCCTAAAGACCAGCTATGCCAGCAGGTAGGCATGGAGAGCAGCTTGGTTTCAGGTTGTTCCAGTTAGTGAGCACTTGGGGCCGCTTGCCTAGCTTTGTGCTGAGTCCTCTGTCATCTTCTCACCCTGATGAATCCTGTCACATCAAAGGCTAGGCAAAGAGATTCATTCGCTTATTTACTCTTTCATTTAGACTTTCATTCCATCCAAAGCTGCCAGCACCAAAGCAGGTTCTTACATTCTTGTTGTGAAAGGCAGGCAGCCTCAGTGCGATATAGGAAGAATCTTCGGGTGACATGTTTGGATTGCAGAAAAACAGGAGTAATGGGGAAATTCGAGAGAAGGTGAGAATTGGGTGGGGCTGAGTACAGAGAGCTCTGGCCTGGAAGGGCGTTCAGGCAGGGCAGTTTAGCTGAGCAAAGTCTGGGCAGCCATACCAAGTGGGCGTGTTGGGAGCCCAGGGCTGACTCAGATTGATGTCCCCTGCACAACAGAGGAGGAAGTGGCTGTTGAGAGAGGAGTCCCTCCATCTGCTGAGTGGCCTTAGTCCAGTCACTTGCCTTCCTGACTCTTATTGCCATCTTGTAAACCACATTTCATGGTCTTCATCTGGCCTGTCGTATGGGGAACTCTGAGAGGACCAGACTATGGGCAATGGGAGGGGCACTAGGGAGGGGAGGGCAAAAGGCCCCAGGGGTCAAGACTGCAGCAGTCACAGGGTAAGGGGGAGGAATTCCTGTGGCCAGCAGACAGGCTGGGCTAGAAAGAATGGGCACAGCCTGCTTGCACAGGTGGTTGGGTGGGTGGGAAAGGCCAGGAGGCCAGCGCTTCCAGCAGCCTGAGATTCCAGAGCATTTACAAGGTGAGGTATGTCATAGGACTGGAGGAAAGGCCTGGAAGGTAGAAGGGCTAGTGTGTCAAGGGTGACCCTCTCCACCCAGCATGCCTCCTGCCCCTTTGAGTAGCACACAGGGGTAGGGCGAAAGCAACCCCGCTTCTAGCTCACCTACAGCCTGCGTAGGACACCATGTTTCTCTGGAGGCCTAAAGTTGCCGCTCCAGTTCTGGAATCTAAAATTCTCTTCCTGGTTGTTCTGGACAGACAATCCACCCTCTTGGCTGTCACCTCCCCTCTCTCAGCAGCCTCATGGTAAGTCTGTGTAGTCTTCTTTGTTTCATAACAGCCTTCCTCTAACCCACCTGATTCTGGAAGCTTCCAGATCCCGGAGGACCTTACTACTCCACAGCCAATGAGATGAATCCTTTGAAGAATTTAAGCCAAAAGACCAGAGCAATTAGACGTTGACAGCCCCTGGTGACAAGGGTAGATGAGCACTCGCTCTTGCTGACTCCTTACTCTCCCAGGTGCTCTATTCCAGCCTGACTCACGTCAGCCTGAACTGTCTGTCAGGTCTGATTTAGGCTACAATGTAGAGAAGACAGCATTATGAGGACCCACGTCAGCTCATCTCCTGCAGTTGGATGTGCTACAACTCGGTTCTTCAAGAAAAAAAAAAAAGGAATAAAAATTAGAATATTTTATTACCTATGAGATAGACCCATGTTCACACGAGGTGACTGCAAGCTCCCGTAAAGAGACTGTGCTGCATATTGCTGGCAGAAATGCTACACACCACAGGCTCAGAAAGGTTTCCTAGAGCAGACACACAGATGAATGTAAGATACAAACGAAGCTAAGGTAGGCTTGGGCTCTGGCCGGGCCTCCATCCGTCATTCATGTCAGTTTGAAGTCTGCAGCCTGGGTGGCTTAGCGATAAGGACATGTACCTACTCAGTGCAGAAGGGGGGTTGTGCATGAGGGTGTTCCCTCGGTCAGGGCAGTGACAGGTTCAGTGATGGGATGAGCCTGCTCATTGTCCTTTGCCGTGCTTCCTCCAGGGGAGGTGGTGGAGGGCTGGAAGGATGCTGAGCCCTGAAACACTGGACTCCAGGCTGCCTCCCTGCTGCAGAGGGAGAGGGGGCTGGGTTGTGGTGCAGTCTGCAGAGAGAAGTGGAAAACAGTTTGGAGCCCCCAGAATAAGGAAAGCCACCTTTGTCTTCCCTGAAGCCTGGCACCTTCTTGCCACCCAAGGTGCTTTGCATCCACCTGGCAGTTTTAAGCCGTTGTAGCAAACATTACATAAAGACCTGAGGTATAAGGCTGACTAAGAAACACTCAGTTACAAATCCACTCTACACACTCAACTGTCCCAGAGGGGCCATGTTACCTTTACTTCATCTCCTGGAGGTCAAAAGAAATGTGACTAGAGGTGACATTCCTGCTGATGTGGGCCAGGCATGCCACTCCCTGAGGGGAGAGGTGGAGAGGGCCTTCTTCAATAAAACTATCCACAATCTACCCCTGAAATGCATCTGTACTCCACCATTTCCCTCAGCTGCACTGTTGAGCACCTAGCCCCTGGGGTACTTGCTGGTCAGTGTCACCCTCACAGCTAGGTTGGATAAGCACTGAGTTAGACACATCTCTTGGCCACTTCCACTGGACACTGCAGGCCCCCACCCTCTTCCCAGTCCTAGGGAAATCTCCTTCTGTCGCACGGCATGGGAAAACATATGGCTTTTTTCTTTCCTGGAGCCAGGAAGGCAGCCTGTACTTAGAACCTTCTAGAAGGCTAGAATAGCTTAAATGTTGAAGGAAAGAAAGTGCAGGCAGGGGAACAGAGCATGGAGGAAGCCCTTGCTGCTCTTAGGGACCCCCACAGGTGCTCCTAGTGGCTGTACTACCCCCCTCCACCTCTTTCCCAAGAGAGACTCTGAAGTTACATCCTCAGGAATCCTGTGTGTGTCACATGTCCCTCATAAGGCTATGGTCAGTGTGAGGCCACAGACTGTTCCCAGTAAAGCTTCTTAGGATTCCCTCTCAGAAGGCTACCCAGGCCAGGCCATAGCTAATCCTTCTAGAATTTTCCTTGGTAGCTCAAGGTTTATGCTTCTTGGATGCACAAAAAGGGCTCACATGGGCTCAGATATGACCATCTTGCTTTCCTATTTAAAACTCAAGCTTCTCCACTCAGCTTCTCAGGCTCCCTGTGACCGGCTCCCTGACTGTCTTTTCAGCTTTGATCCTCAACCTCCCTCTTTTCCCTGTCAGCGTGTGTTTCCAAATCTCACATCCTCCTCTCTCTTCTCCAGGGTGTTTGGTCCACTGTGACCGTGCGGCCTCCTCCCCCATCAGCTATCTCAGGCCTTCTGTGGTATTAGAGTGGAGTCAGATGTCCCTGAGCCCTGAGTCAAGAGTTCTGCTCTGTGCCTGGTGTGCGGCTTGTTGTTCTCAGAGCCTTGGGCTTCTCATCTGTAAGCTGGGTAGCCCACAGTGAAGAGCCAGCAAGAAGACAGGTATATAATACTGAGAGTAGAAATGATGTCCTGAGAGCTCAGTAAGAAGAACCATTCCTCCATTCACCATCTCTTCCTCGAACATCCCTCAGCTGATTAAGCAGAGCTTAGATTATTTAGCCAGAGAGGAGATGGGCAGCCAGACTGCCCATGAGGCCTTTGTGTGATACCATATAGAGGACACAAGTGACGGCCACAGTTGCTGGCGTTTACTATCTGTCAGGCACCCTGTGAAATGCATTAATCTGTTTCATCCCCAAATCCATTAATGGGAAGTTTGTATTTTATTTACCTGGCCAAGCCAAACTTACCAAAACCTATGATTATTTTTTCAATGTTAAAATGGAGCCAACATGATAGGCACTCTATAAAAATTGTCTTTGATTTTGAATGTTCCCTATGTCCTGGGCTAGTGATGAGCCCTAGGATTCTTCCTGGAGTTGAGGGGTAGCGGTCAGCTGCCAATCGGAGTCAGTCCTGATTCCTGTGGACCAACAATGCAGTGTCCTCTGCCATCGAGTGTGGTGTTTGGTGCTTCCCATTTACTCAGCTGAAGAGTATCCTTCAACAGATGGGCCTGCAACCCTGTATGAGAGATTCCTTCTTGCTTGTTAATTAATATAGAAGAACCAATCCACCATGGGCAGTACCTCCAAGAAGGTGGATCTGAGGTGTGTAAGAAAGCTGAACGGAAACCAGAGGAATCGGAGCCAGCGAGAATCAAGTTCCTGCCTTACAGGCCTGCCCTGACTTTGTTTGCTGTGTGCTGTGGCCTGGAAACGTAATCTGAGTAAACCCTTTCTCCCATGTTGATTTTGAACAGAGGGGTTTACCATAACAAGAAAAACAAATTAGAAGATAACACACACACACATGCACATGCATGCATGCACACACGCACACGTACACACACACACACACACACATACACACCAGAATATCTAGGAAACTGGTTGGGAAGGTAGAAGGTGGGGGCAGGGGACAACCAGCAAAGAGGTCAACAGCACCCACCTGCCTCCACCACAGATAGCAGCACAGAGTGAACCTCAGTGTCTGAGCTCTGCTGCTAGCCTACTGCACTGATCAGCAGTGTGGACCCAGGGCATGCTGGCATTTCCTCAGCTCTGGGAGCTGTTTCCTCTCCTTAAGAAGGATTTGCGGCCCCATGAGGAGAGCAACAATACCAACCAACCACAGCTCCCAGGGTCTAAACCACCAGCCTGGGAGCACTTAGGGAGGGGTCCAGGGCTTCAGCTGAATATGTAAGAGTGGAGGGCCCTGCTGGGCATAGGTGGAAGAAGAGAACCTTGACCTCATGAAGGCTGGACGCCCCAGGGGGTGGGAATTTTGAGGGTGGGGAGGTGGGAGTGGGGGGGTAGATAGAGGTTACATCCACAGAGAAGAAGGAGGAGGGGTGAAGGGATAGGGGGTTCCTGGGTTGGTGGGGGATGGGGTAAGGGGACAACATATTAAATATAAATAAAACATCCAATAAAAAAAAAAAGAAAAAAAAAGAAAAAAAAAGAAAAAAAAAGAAGCTTCTCCTCACAGCAGTCCCCAGAGGTCAGGCCCAGAAAAGAACACAGGTTTGTTCTCTCTGGGGCTGAGACAGATCCCTGTCTCAGGCACTCTGACCACCGCCTGAACTGGAAGGCTGCACACAGGCTTTTGGGAAGTCTTTCTGACCTCCCCTCCATCTGGCCTCACTCTCCAGTTCCTGTTGCTTCGTGACTGCGTGACTGTGTTGCGTGGTTACCTTTTATTTCCACAGACCGCAAAGCACCTGTTAGTCTATAAAATTTGCAGTAAATTTGGTAAGGAAAAATATTTAAAGCTATGACAGTGAATAATGTCTGTAAGTGTTCTAGGGTTTAAAACATATCCTTGGTTTACAGGTGGTGACAGCTAGGCCTGCTGGCCTGCGCATCCTAGCATGCATTCATCCATTTGAAAAATATTTATTGAGCAACTACAGGAACTGTGCACTGTAAGAATAGTTATGTGCCAAATAGGCATGGTTCCTGTACTCAATCAGACCACAGGGCAGGACTGGAAAGACAGAGGCCCAGTGGTTAAGAACCCTGCTGCTCTTGCAGAGGACCTGAGCTCTGTTTCCTGCACCTAAAAGGTGGCTCAGCACTACCTATAACTCCAGTTCCTGGGGAACCCTACACCCCCCTCTGGTCTCAGAGGGTACTGCATGCATGTGATGAACATATATTCACACAGGTTCACACTCATACACATAAATAAGAAAAAAAATCTAGCCAGGCCTAATAGCTTGTGACTTTAATCCTAGTACTCAGGAAGCAGAGGTAGGCGGATCTCTGAGTTCCAGGCTGGCTTGGTTTATAGATTGAGTTCCAGGACAATGGGAGCTACACAGAGAAACCCTGTCTCTAAACAATCAAACAAATAGAATATAATAAATAGATAAGTTAATAATCCTAAAACATTTTAAGAGTACAGGATAGAGGTGGAAAGTGAATTGGAAACAATAAAAAGCAAACTAAGTTTATGTGGCTAAAGTGGCAAAATACAAGGTGTCCTTTAGGAGAGGGAGCCCTGACGGATACTTCCACACAGATGTTCACAGCACCACTACTTACAAGAGCTCAAGGCTAGAAGTAAACCAGTCTCCATCAACAGCGAGAAAATAGAATGTGGAATGACTGCTGTTGTCAATAAGATGTTGTTCAGCCTTGTAAGAGGAAGGTGCTTTGGCCCCAACCACCAGAGCTCTGAACATGTGATGTTGAGATCAGCCAATCAGTGTACAGACAAAGATAGGTGTGCGTACTTCTAGTCCAAGCACTGGAGGGCCAGGACAGGAGAACAGTCAGTTCAAGGACATTTTGGGCTACATAGCAAGTTCCACACCAGTCTGGGCTATATGGCAGAACCTCTTCTCCAAAATAAAGACAAAACTGCGTTGTTCCACTTAAATGAAGTATCTAAAATAGTTGCATAAAGACAGAAAATGGAATGGCAACTGCTGCCAAGGTGGGGAAAGGGAGTGAGGAGGAGCTGCCTGGGGGGCTGATGATGATAAGATGAAGTTCTGCAGGTACAACATGGAGTATGCCAGCACACCCAGCCGCACTATGAGACAGTCATCATGGCAGACTATGTGTTAGGTAAGGCTATTTTTACCATCCTTTATATAAAAGGAGAGAGCAAGAGAAAGTAGGAAAGCGACGAGGGGAGAGAAGGAATGACAGAAAGAGGGAAGGATGAGCCAGACCTCCAGGGAGAAAAGTCTGTGCTACGTCCTGGATTCCCACATGAATGTGAACAAGTCTTCCTGTCTCTTGAGGTGTCCTGTAAGGTCCTCATGGGAACCCCCACACCTGCACATGGCACACACCGGATGAAGGTTATCTCTAGTTATCTCTAGAGCTAAATAAACAGCTATTAGAATAAGCAGAGTAAGCGGGGCTTTAAAGACCCAGCAGCTCCTGATCCTAAAGGAAGCCTGTGTGCTTGGTCCTGTCCTGTCTAAGTCAATTACATTTTCTAACACTGAAGTGACTTCCTGTTACCTAATGAGCACGCCTCAGCTGTCACAACTGACCATTCTTCCCCGAGATGCCACCTTCACCTGTCCCCAGGGACACCACTTATTTGACTTTCTTTTTCCCTCCCAAGTATCAACCTCTCAGCCTCCTCTGTGGGCTTTCCCTTGCCTGCCTGCCCTCTGTACTTCAAGGTACAATGGCCTCTTTTTCCCATCATTTTTGAGACCTCAGCCAGTCTTCTGGCATCCCTTACTACAAATGCATCCAGAACTGTCCTGTCTACACCCTGGCTATTCCCTCAGTCTGTATTCAATATTGTCTTCCTACTCAATGCTGTCACAGAGATGTCTAACTCAACAGTCTAATGGATGAGCCTAACATACACGAAATAAATAGCCTGTATGCAATGTCTTAGTTAGGGCTTCCATTGCTGTGAAGAGACACCAGGACCAAGGCAACTCTTATAAAGGACAATATTTAGCTGGGGCTGGTTTACAGGTTCAGAGGTTCAGTCCATTATCATCATCAAAGAGGGAACATGGCAGGATCCAGGCAGACACGGGGCTGGAGGAGCTGAAAGTTCTGTATTTTGATCCAAAGGCAGACAGGAGAAGACTGGTTCCCATGTTACTAGGAGGAGTGTCTCAAGGCCCACCCCCACAGTGACACACTTCTTCCAGCAAGGCCATACCCACTTCAACAAGGCCACACTTCCTAATAGTGCCACTCCTTGGGTGAAGTGTATTCAAACCACCACACCCAGCAATCAAGATTCCTGTTGCTTCAACAAAAACCCTAGTACAATTTTTATTTCTATTCCTCTCACATCTCACAGGCAACACACCAACAAGTCCTGCCTGGTCAGCCTTTACACGATACCCAGCATCTATTCATCCAGTCTTAGGACTGCCATATTGTTTCAAGCCCTGATAGCCAACCTGTGCTATTACTTGTACCAAATGAGGATTTTCCCTGTCTTTGACTTAAACTCACCTCTAAACAATTTATTTCCCAAATAACAACCAATGTGATCCTTCAAACCTGTAAGATTGTATCTCTCTGACCTACACCCATATGGCCTCTCCTCTCATGTAGGTTAAAGGACAAAGGTGTAATATGTCTACCACAGCTATACTACCTAGAGGGCAAGAGGGGCACTGAGGATGAGAGAGGAGAGGAAGGAGCCTCTCTCCTTCTCCTGAGCCTGTACCCAGGGGAGGCGAGAGCACACACGCCTTCCTTTCCATGAACATTCCTGTTACTCAGAATGGAAATTGTCATTATGTAAATGAGAGGCTTCCTGAGGTTATAAGTGAAGAGGAGACTATAAGATGGTCTATAAGATGAATAGCTAAAAAAGATTATAGCTAACCTTACGCTCCACCTCAAAGGTTTTGAGTGGGGAAAGTAGTCAAGCTCGTGTTTTGCAAGGACATAGTGGATCTTTTTTTTTTTTTAATGCTGTTTTAAAGTTCCCTGTTGCTCAGAACCCAAGGAATTTTACCATTCTGCAAAGAGTTCCTCCTACGCACGGAGCCACCCCAGCAACCAAGCCAGTATCGAGATTTCTCCCCAGCCCACACCCCACCCACACTCGCACACTTGCTTTACAGTCTGGAGCGATGCAGTGGTGAGAGTCTGTCAATTATGCACAGTTGATGTACGACTTCGCTATAAATTGAAAGAGGGCCCCAGCAACCATTTACTACAAAACCATTTCGCTTCCTTTAAGATCCAGGAATGTCACGAAAACACAGCATGCCCAGAGTCCCACACGGTGAAGACTTGTCTTGAATATCTCATATCTTTGCCCTAAACATTGAGGTGCAACCCTAGGCCACATATCAGACTGAAGCATTAAGACGAACAACCAGCCTTCTGCAATTCCTGACCTAGGTAGATAGCTAGCTGTTTCCTTGGGAGATTTCTTTTGTTCCCCAAATCCTCTGTGTTGTCTTTGGGTCCTGCATCTGTTTCCTCATTGTTGTGGTGGTGCTGATGGAGACTGTGATTACCTACTGACTTAGGCTGAGGTTTCTAACTGGGAGGAGAGAAGCTGTCTACAGCCTCCTGAGTGGGCTTGTTGGCTGACCAATCTCACTCCTGGGTTAAAACATGGTGAGCTAGGTTTGTTCTTGTTAGCTTCCCTACTAAGGAGTTGTTCAGGCTCCTGCCAGGAGTCTGTTCCCCAGCAGCCAGTAGGGACACTTTTACTCGACAGTTCTGTGAAATACAGCTTTGTATTTTTTGCAGCGCCTATGCAGCATGGTGTCTAGTGCCACTAATTCACCTTCCCTAAGAAAGAGCATCCTGGATCTTATCGTGGTAGGGGAGTGACATGTGCTCGGAGTCCCTGGCAGGGTGATGGAGTGATGTCGGAATGGTGTCAATACTGATGGAGGTGATATTGTTGGGGTCAGCAGCCATGATGGCTTTGGTGACCGAAGTGGTGGTAAGCTGGTAGTAGTGATGCTGGTGATGGTGGTGGTGGTACAGCTGCTGCTGCTGGAGGTAGAGCTGCTGGTGGTCTTGGGCCTCGAACCTGCCGCCATTTTGGCTGAGCTGGTAGCAGTGGTGGTCAGCGGTGCTGTTGGCTGCAGTGGTGACTGTGATGTCCTGTGGCTGCTGCTGCTACTGCTGCTGCTGGTACCTCCTGCTCCTTCCACCTTCCCTTCCGTCTTCTACTCCTCACCCCACGACACAACCATTGGCACTCCTAACTCCTGCCAAATTCTGGACAACTCTAGCTTTTCTCTTAGGGGTTAGGTGACTGCTTCCTGCAGTCGGCAAACATTACTATTCATCCATCTCCTTTCCCTTTTACAGAAGTTACCTGATGTAGCTACACCTCCATGCTCTTTGTCTTACTACATGTGTCTCTGCTTCTCTCCCATAATTTCTCCCATAATTTCTGTGGGGTTTAGGGAAGAAGCAGGTTTTTAAATAGACGTTCCCCACCGCCTTTGGAAGAAGGCTTTGTTTCTTACATCGTCTTTTCAGATTTCTTCTTTGTATTTGATTTTCTATATAAAGAGTAGGACCCACCCCATGTGTCCTGGGCAAGCTTGCATCCTGGGTCTCCATTTCTCAAGATCTGAAGAGTCTGGGGCTCTTCAAGTTTTGAGAAGTTTTTAAAAGAATAGAGTTTTTATTTTTTAAACAAAACCATGCTTAAGCAAAATTTTGGGAAATTAAAACCAACTTCAACCATTTACATTTCCCAAATTCTTGTTTTCAATACTGAAAACAAGACACCAAGCAATATAATTGTGTGCTGTTCACAAGATAATTACAGGATTTATTAAATATATTAATTCATAATACATAGGCAGAGTAGCACAGTAATGAGATGCAGGGCTGAACCAGGGTGAACCTAAGTGTTCTTTGCATTTCGTTTCAACTCATTTAGATGCAGCATTAGCCTTCAGAGTCATGATTTCCATAATGACAGTGGCCCTGCACATGTGCCACCTGAGCTCACGTGCCTCGCCTCAGCCGGCTCCAGACAGCATGATCCAGCTTCCCATTGGCAGTAAGAACTTAAGTTGCTTGCCTGTGAGAGAGGCAGTGCCGTGTGCAAAGGCCTGGTCTGCAGCATGCTTGCTTTCAGCAGCCACTTCCTGCAACAGAGACAAGCTTTGCCCATGAACATGTCTTGGGACTGACTGTCTTCTTGGGCCCTGACAAGAAGACAGAAAGGGGATTAAATGACTGTCTTAGTTACGGTTTCATTGCTGTGAAGGGACACCATGACCAAGACAACTCTTATAAAGGAAAAAAATTTAATTGGGTTGGCTTACGCTTTCATAGGTTCAGTCCATTATCACCATGGTGAGGAGCATGGTAGCATGCAGGCAGACATGGCACTAGAGGAGCTGAGAGTTCTGCATCTTGAAAGCAGCCAGAAGGAGACTCAGATTCCACACTGGGCAGAGCTTGAGCATAGGAGACCTCAAAGCCCTTCCCACAGTGATGCACTTCCTCCAACAAGGACACACCTGCTCAAACAAAGCCACACTTCCTAACAGTGCCACTCCTTATGGCTAAGCATTCACACACATGAGTCTATGTGGGCCAAACCTATTCAAACCACCACAATACCAAGATGGCTTCTCTTTCTTTAAGACACTTAGGGCTACTGGGAATCCCACAAAGCTTCAAAACCTGGCTGGATATCTCTCTTTGCAGCATACTCTAATGCTTAAAGAAATACAAAAGGGGAAAATCCGCCCGCTTGCTCAAGAGAAAAATATCAGGTTTTGTTTTGCCACATTTTCTCCCTCTCAGTATTGTCACAGGTGTGCAAGTAACCCTTGCACTCACGGGGCCAGGGTGAGGGTGGTGTGGGGAAGGCGTGTGAGAGAGCTCACACTCACCCACATGGGGTGGGGGGGAGAGCATGTGAGAGAGCTTGAAATAAAGCAATTCGATCTGATCAGACTTGGATTCACATCTCCTCTCTTCCCTTTAACAAGTGCATGAGCTTAGACCGACTTGAACTTTTGACAGATCCTCAGAGCTCCAGTTTTCATGAATACAACCAGAATAACAATGGTATCGATTGCGTATATTATTTCAGGATAAAATAATGTGAAATAATACATGCAGAATTATGCTGGTCACAACTGTCTAGTGGGTGTTCAGTGAACAGTAGCCGAACGAACTCCTGCCCTTGACTTCCTGAATTTAGCAAGTCTTTAGTAAGTGCCAGGCAGCTGGGAACAGATGTGGACAGAGCCAGATGTGGACATGTTCACCACTGAGTGCTGTGTACTAAGGACTCCATCTCAGAAGACCAGCAGCTGTGAGGCCTGAACAGGCCTGGATCATGAGGGCAGATGGACGGGATCTGGCTGACAGAAGTCAAGGGGGTTTTTGAGAACTTGAAGAAAGAAGAGTTGGTACTCTCCGCTTTTTAACAGAACATCACAGGCCAAGCACCCTTGATGCTTGGGACTGCCTAATTTTCTTATCACTCCTAATGGGCTGCGTGGCATCATCGGGCTCCCAGGTGTTGTGATTTCCCTCAGCCTTCCCTGTCATTTGATTTCTCAGCTATCAATTTAGAGCAATCACAGGCATCACTACAACAAACATACACCTGATGTTCTTCCTTTCAGGAATTACTTCCGGGTCATCCAGTCTGGGTCAAGGGCTATGAGCACTCTTGGCAGCTCCCTGCCAAGCTCTTGTCAATGGGTTCACACACCAGGTGTTGTGACTTGATGTAGTTTGTCAGGATAGGCCAAAGTACAACTTCACCGTTGTTCAGTTTTGACTTACTTTGATGTGTTGTCTGACGGGGAGACTGCCCAGTCACTAGGCAGGAGGGGAGAAGGAAACTTATCTCCCGGGAAACGGTCAAGGGGTGGCCTGAAGTACCAGGCCTACAAGCAGACACCAAGTGTGGCTATGGTGCTGTTTGTACCTTGTCCACAGTTAACTGCACGGGTAGTTAACAGAGTAATAATCACCACTGAGCATGCGCAGGGAAATCATCATTTCTTACCATGGCTGTTTTCTCTTTTCAAAAGGATGGCAACTTTTTAAGCAAGGATCCTTTGCCAACATCATGATATTATTTGTTGGTCTTCCATTTTAGAGTGGTCTGGTTGGGTTCGTTGATTTGTTGTTATTTGGCTATAATCTATTGTCTTAGTGCATTTCTTGTTGATGTGAGTAAATCCCTGAGACTGAGTGATTTATAAAGAAAAAAAGTTCATTTGGCTCATGCTTCTGGGGGTTGCAAGTCTAGCAGCCTGCCACCAGCACCTACTTAACAAGTAGGGAGCCCTTCTTCCTGGTGCGGTAACAGAAATCAGACAGGTATCCCAACCCAGGTGTGTCTTCCTGCACTTGGCCATCATGGGTCCACCCTCATGACCTCACCTACTCCCAGTCATCTCACAGGTGACACCTGCAGACACCGTGAGTGTGTGTGGCATACATTACATTTCCACCACATGACTGCGGGGCAGGGCAAGGTGGGGGGACACATTCAAACCACAGCATTCATGGAGCTCACCCCAGGAGTGGAGGGAGAGAGGGACAAAAGAGACACAGAGAGAGACACAGAGACAGACAGAGAGACAGACACAGACAGTGAGAGAACCTGGGAGAAGTTCTGAGCTAGGTGAGGGGAGGGGAAAGGCTCTACTCTTCTTGTGTGCCCCAACCCCTCCCCCCACACACACACACCTCATGGCTGTTCTTCAGAGAAGATGGTGGCAGGATGACAAGGCCAACCAGGCACACAGGATCTGGCTTTTCCAGCTCTAGGGATGGAGACTCTGGAAGAGAGTATGGCAGAAGCATCAGGGAGGGGCTGAGAACATGGCCCTGGCAGGGCAGAAAGCTGGTGCCAGCTGCCCAAGACCATGGTTCAGGGTTACAGCACAGCGTTTGCAGGAGGAAGAAGCCAGCGAGGGCAACGGTGCACAGCGTGAGAGAGCTGCAGCTCCTTGGGCTCCAGCGTGGGACGCCGAGTGGCTGTGGGATGCCGAGTGGCTGAGAAAGGCTATCGTGAGTAGATTTGAGAACTGTGGATTTCAGCAATGGGTGGCCACACCAAGCATCAAAGCCAGATGACACCAACCACCCTTGGGCAGATGCAGTCTGGGTGCCAGAGTAGACCAGGCAGTCCACAACATGAAGAATGCGGCAGAATCATGACCTCAGTTCCTGTCCATCTTAAACACCAGCTGCTACTGTATGCTGCCCATGCCCATTTACCACAATGACAAGGAAATGATGGATTGTGGGTACTGTATGAAGAAGAGAGGTTCATTTAGTTCTCAGTGTAGAGGCTGAAAGTCTGAACGACATGGCTCTGACAACAGCCTCTCCGGCTGTGTCCTATCATTGTGACAGCTATGAGACCCACATGACAGACAGAAGGACAGCTCTCTGGGCCAGTCACTCTCACAAGAACTATCAAAACACCACAAAACACCCTCACTTCCTTCTGACAACCTCCCAGCCCCTACCTTCTAATGTCCTCATTCTGGGGACCAGGCTTTTAATACAAGGACCCTTAGGGTACAGTCTGATTACACCTAAACCATAGCAATGTTTGCATCACAGAGAGGAAAGAATATGAAATCCCTGGGGACTTGGGAAGGAGGGAGAAAGCAACAGAGATGGGAAAGGGATGACTTAAGAGGAAGCAAGACAGTGGGTGGCAGTGTACAGGGAAGTGGTTCCTCTTCCTTTACCCTCCCCCAACCCTCACATCATCAGTTGAAGCCACTCTGCTCATGAACATGCTTTGTGGAAAATAAAGCCCAGATCCAGTCCCGAACTGCTGTGGGGTAGACTAGGGGTGACCACATGGCAGCTGGGAACCCTGAGGTAGTGTCCTATAGAACCCACCAAAGGCTGTGTCACACAGTTGCTTAGGACACACCCATCCCTTTGAGTTAGTGTCCTGAAGCAGTCATGGCAGGGCTCCAGCAATAAACAGCCTCCATCCACCTCTCTCTTTGCCCACGTTGGAGCCAGTGTTATTAGGAAAGCCATTTGATTTCACAACCTTCTTCCTGTGGTCAGAGTAGCACAGAATAGCTAGGGTACCGAGTACCTGGGACCATTCTGCCATGTGGACAAGGGAATAGCGCAGCAGCATCCTGCACAGGTGTGGGCTAGCTGGTGCCAACACTAGAGGTGGTGCTGCTGGGTGTGATGTCCAGGGTTGGCTTTCTGCTGTTGCCACAGCTGCTGTTCCCTAGCAACAGCAGCAGGCCCGGCTTTGCTGGTGGATACGTGAGCTGGAGGTAATTACCTGCCACTGATATTTCCTCTAGCAATCCCTTAAGGTGATGTGATAGGGCTTTGACCAGTGGGGCTTAAGAGAGAGAGTTCTGTGAGAGCTTCCGGGGAAGTTTTGGTTTACCTCATTTTAAAAACTAACTAGTCCCACTCTGGTAACATGCCCCTCTTCAACCTGCCTGGATCTGGTGCTAAGAGGACACTGAAGGCTTTGCTGTTTGCCAGGAACCTTACAAACCCAGGCAGCATCCTACCCACAAGCCTCATTCCCAGCCTGGCATTTCTTGCGTTTTATTCTGAGACAGGGTCTCACTGATCTGTTCTGGTTAGTCTTGTACTATAACCCAGGCTGACATTGAACATGCTATTCTTCAGCCTCACCCTCCTGAGTAGCAATGGTTACTCATGCCACCGGGCAGCCCTGGCTGGTATCATGTGACTCTGAGAGATAGATATGAGGAAAGAGGCCAAGGGAATCTGAGTCAGCGGCCTGGCATTTGTAAGCCTCTGAAGCAAGGCTACCAGCTACCCGCTCTAGACTCTGGCTATAAATGAAGTTATGTATCTATCAGCTACCTGCAGCCAAAGACATTCCTAACAGATCCAGCACTGAGCTGCTCAAGGAGTGAGAGGCCCAAGAAGACACGGAGGCTCCACAGCTAGCAGGCCCTGCAAAATCATATGCTATCCATTTTGGTTCACCCAAAGCATCCTGACAACATCATCCCTCAGAGATGACTCAAGGAACCACCCCCCCTGTGCTCCTCAGAGCTCAGCTGATTCGAAAGAAATGAGATCACAGTAGTATTCGAACAAGTATCCAGAATGTGGTTTCCATAGAAACCGACAATGACGAAACAGCAATGGAGGAAAGGAGGCAGTTGAACTAAGCCAGTTTACTCCCACCTGGTTCCCAAGGATTCCAAGGGCCTCTGCTCACCTAATCTAATCTGTCCCTGTCTTGCTGCATCTTTCCCCGAGGCCCAAGGTGACTCTTGCATGAGCTTCCTGCAAGTGACAATCAATTCTTAGTTACCCTGTTAGCCCCGGTGCCCAGCTGGAGCCTGGCATGGGTTAGGAGCCCAATCTGGAATGGGAGGTTCCAAAAAATGGATGCAGTTCCTGAAAGCAAGAACAGAGGTGTGGGTTTTCAAGACTGAGCTATCAGTCTTCAGTAGAGCTGAAGATGAGACGGAACTGCACGGGCGAGCAGCTGCCACTTGGGTTCTAGGATCCTGTGACGGCCTTGAGTAGTTTCAAGACAGCCTTCCAGCTCTGTGGTTGGTCCCTCTTGGGTTCCCCTTCCACAGTGTGGGGCTAACTCTGCTGATTTCACTGGACGGATCCATTGTCATCAGTGGGGTCTGCTTCTTATACCGCATGAGGAACGGGGATTGTGATATTCCTGCCTTTGTGTCTGAAGACTACAGTCTTCTCTCTCTCTCCACCAAGGCTTGTCACACACTTCTGGCCTCACCCCAGCATCTGACCCAGTTAATCTGGGATGTGGCCAGGGAGACATTTCTAGCAGGCAGTGACTGAGCAGGGGATACACAGAGCAGATACTTTGTACTTTGTAAAAGGCATTGATGAGGAAAAGAAAGGCGAAGAGAATCACAACAAAATCCCCAAGAAAATCCAACTACTTAGAGGTTATTCAAAGCATACTAAGGCTTATGCCACAGGTGGAGGAACAGATCCAGAACCCCCTTGTTTTCCAGCCGCCCTGTGAAGACAGCTGAACACACTGTGTGCTGAACAAAACATCTGTCTAGCTTTAGCTTCAGAAAATGAGACCAAACTTTCCAACAAAATTGTCTTGATGAGGTTTCCAAATGCCCGCTCCTTAGGCATTCAAACTTAGGGAAGTTTGAAGGAGATGGAAAACTGGGCACCTGTTCTGTTATTCCCCAACTCCAGCCAGCTCAGCTATTTACCCCAAGAGAGCATATGAATATTCTCACTTCCTATATTTGCTGGGACCCAGCAGCCTTATTCTATTTTTTTTAAAAAAAATTATTACTATTATTTGGGTTTTTGAGATACTTACGGTATAGCTCTGGCTAGCTTTGAACTCAGAGATCTTCCTGCCTCTGCCTCTGAGTGCTGAGATTGAGTGCTCAGCCTCGACAGCCTTGTTGTAAAGGTGCAGTAGCCAACACAGTATTCAGAAAAGTGGCCAGACAAATGGAGCTAGCCCGTGAGTATGAAAACACCAGTTTGTCCCAACCCTGAACATTGAGACATGTGGGGGTTGGGGGAGTTTCTATCAGCCAGGCTCAAGAGCCAGGCTAACTCAGCAGCAAGGCTGTGCTTCCCACTCTGGTTTAAAAAAAAAAAAAAATCAAAGCAGGTCACATGACTGTGGGTAGCCAGGGAGACGGTTTTGAGCATTTTCCTTTCGTGAACATGGTTATGCCTCCAGCAGTACATGTGTCCCTCAAAGTCTACGTTAAATCCCTGACCTTGGGTGTTCCACCTCTGTTCTCCCAAGGAAGGGCAGAGGGTGAAGCCCTACGTGGCAGGTGACTTTGGCAGGTGGCTGCTCCATTTTCAAAGCTTGGTTTGCATGAGATATTTCAATGACAGGCAACTTAGTCAAAGAATCACTGTGGTTACCATGGCACCCTGCCATCCAACACGGCTGTGGAGCCACCCAGATTTGGAAGGGGTGTTCTGAGGGTCTGTGGGTTGGCCCCAGCTCTCAGGTAAGTGTTGACAGAGGTCAGTTGGCTCATCATGCTGGGAGTGGCTTGGCACCTGCTGAGCAAACACACAGCATCTTCCTGGGAGGCCACCTTGACACACTTTGGCCCAACCTGTTCTCCCGAAGCTGGGGTTTTGTAAGAGGCCAAATTCCAGGCTGGGGCAGAATAAACAAGAGTGCATGGCTAACGATTGGTGAGCTTGCCTGGAGTACAACTGACCGCACATTTCAGAGGACACTTTGGGGCCACACCTGGCCCCAGGCTGACTGTTTATAGTGAAGCTATGAACAACCAGGGGCTTCTAGGTCCCCATGGTGTCTGCTGGTGATTTCTCTCTGTTCTTTGAAGAGTAACAAAGACATACCTGTTATAAACTTGGAGTTCTCTGCCCTAATCTGCTTAACAAGTAAATAATATCTTTCCGTTCAAAACCTCACACCTATCTATCACTTCATGGTCTTCAAAAAGATTCCCAGTTCTACCCTGGTTTCAGTTTTGGAAGAGCAGGATTGGCAGTCCAAGCTCAGAGAGGGCAATGACTTGACCAAGTACACACAGCCAGGAGATGTCTGGGTCAGAAGTTGAAATTTTTCTACAAGCAAGTCAGGCAAAAACAATGCTTATATTTGGTCTTCCGGCCCAAGAGGGGAAAGAGACTTGGCCTAGAGTTGGAGGGTATGGGAGGGAACCAATGTATTTCCACCTTGGAGCTAGCTCAGAATATTGCCTCCACCGTTTGTTTAAATATAGCCACAGCCCTTCCAATTGCAGTATCTATTTGCCCTCTTTTGGGGGTGCTGGGGACCTCATACTTCTTAAGCAAGCACACACCAGTGAGCTCCATGCCTAGCCCCACTGAGAAGTCAGAAAAAGTAGTCAGCGGTTAGACAGTTGTTTCTTTCTGGCCTGCTACCATCCTGCCATCTAGATCCAGGCTTTCTAACCACTTACAATTTTTCACTTGAGAGACTTCAAAACACACACACACACACGCACACACACACACGCACGCACGTATACACAAACACGCACATGTGTGTATATGTAAACACACACATTTTAGATTTGTTGTTTTATTTTATGAGTCTTTTGTATGCACGTATGCATACTGTGTGAATGCCTGGTGCTCTCAGAAGCCAGCGTGCGTCAGAGCTCCTGACACTGGAGTTATGAACATAGGTTTGAGATATCCTGGCTGTGCTGGGAAATGAACCTGGGTCCTCTGAAAGAACAAGTGATCTTAACCACTGAGCCTTTAACCCTGTACTTGAAAAACTCTAGGCATATAAATTAGGTTAATAATCAAGCATTTATTGATAGTAAATCATAAATAAATTTATTTTAAAATAATTTTTACCAGTTATACACAAATAATTTTAGTGTTGCTTAAAGATGTGCTTGTGTATTCTTACACAGAAAATTACTTCTCTGCTGGTGTGCTGATGTGATGTCAAGGTATACAGAGAAACTTCAGTATTGCTCAGAGTTGGTCAATATTTTGATTTTATAATGGTGAATGTTGAGAACACCAATCTATGTAAGTTGGTAATAAAACAAGGCAGAAGAATGTTCAGGGCCATTTCAGAGCTTGCTGAGAATTTTGTCCTAATCCCAAGGCAAGATTCATTGAGTAATTAAAAAAAAAATGACACTCAAATGTCATGTTAATATAACTCAAAGAGCAAACTTTATAAGCAACCTCTGTATCACAGCATAAGCCAGAGCTGTTCTGATTGGCTGTGTGCATGCCAGAGCTGTTCAGACTGGCTACGTGCATGCTGAGAAGAGGCAGGAGGAGACATCTTGAAGACTTTGGGTTTTGTACTTAAGCCATTCTGCTCCTGTGAGAGAAGAAAGCTTTGTCTGCATAGTACGAACATGGAAACTGAGAACACGGCAGTCTCAGACCTGAGCCGAGGTGTTTCTGGCATCGGTCAGCGCCACTGTGCTGAGTGAACTCAGGAGCGGTACAAAGTGCTCAGAACCAAGTCTGCAGTGAGGTCACCATGCCAGAAACACCGCAGGCCTTTGGTTTGAGTTAGTTCTTGTCTTTGCGTGCTTTACCATCTTGACCATTGTCAACTTTACCGTGACCCACATTTAGTTATGTGACTCCAGTCTTAGTTCTGAAGTAGGATCTAGGTGACAGTGACTCTATCACTTACCACAGCAGGTGGGTTAGATTAGTTTTCTAATCTAAAAAAAAAAAAGGGGGGGGTGGAAATCCTCAGGGAGGCCGCAGCATCCACCCATGCTTTTGAAACTACTGACTGTAAACATCCAGTTCTCTGATTGCTATTCAACTGCTGAGGACCCATGGGCCAGCTGATGTATGCCTCTTCCAGGTATCCCATGGCCTTGCCCTGCTGTCCTGTCATGGGTCTCCCCAGGCCTCTGGTGGGTGCCCCAGTATCTCTGTCTAGTGCAATCAGCTGCCTCACTGGCCCTGTCCTCTGCAGGCTCCTGGGGAAACCAGTGCCCGATAGACAGGCTCCCCCAACTGCTTCTCCACACCTTTCAGGTTGTGTATTGTTTCTCCTGATTAACTCCCAGTTAGTGCTGGGAGTTTACGTGTCCCAGTTTAGGTTGGATTCTGCCAGTTCCCCAGAGCCAGGTCCCAGCTACTTTTAGCTTGATTAAATCTCAGGCCTTCCTGCTTCCATGAGGACTGCCATTCGTGTGTGTGTGTGTGTGTGTGTGTGTGTGTGTGTGTGTGTCCGTGTGCCTGTGTGTCTGTGTGTCTGTGTGTCTGTGTGTGTGTGTGTGTGAGATCTTTCAGAAGTCCACACATTGCTACCCTCCTGGCAACACCATATGACACTGGTCTTGGTTTAGTTTTCCTCATGCGAAAACTGAGGTTGCATGAGGCACTCCCAGCTTGTGAGGGATGGGTGAGGATAAAGGTGCCTCTCCGATGTGTGGTAGTCAGTAAGGTCATGGCGTCCAGTTTCTCCTCCACTCACCCTAACTCACAGCCTTGCCACTGTAGAACTGGAGTCCCGTAGGAACAACAAAGCCACAGACATACTCCAGGCTTTGCCTTCCCAGTTGGAAATCCAGATTCTATGGTATTCTAGCAATTTCTAAGTCAGGCCAACGATCTCCTGGTCATGTTAGCGCAAAGCCATTTGGGTTTGAATAACTCGGTGAGCAAGCAGCGTGACTTTAAAGACCCAGCTGCCCTGGAATGCATTTCTAAACAGGAATTAGCTGACACAGGCAGCATCAGCTGGAAAAACAAGGTCTGGGTTGGGTGGCCCAGAGGTTCCCACTGACTTCACCAGCTGGATAGCACAGGCTCGTTGTCACTGCCTCCTTGGTGGCTGTGCCATTAGAAGCCATGCAGTTGACAGGGGTCACCAGTGGCTTGTTTAGTCCTTAGGGCTCCTGTTGTCATTTTAGGAAGAAAATTACAGGTCTATCGCTCTCTTAAACCTGTACAGTAATAATTAGCCAGGCCCCAGTGAGAGGCGGTTTACCCTTGACCTTGGCTGCTGGCCTGGGAAGTGACCCATTGGAGTCTATGCAAATTCTTTAACCCCGACCACGACAGGGGTTGATCAGGGAGGTATTTAACTGAGAAGGGTTACCATGCATATTAGTTCAGTTCTCAATTTTCCAAGCTTCAAGTGACCTTGGTTTCAAGAGCAAAAAAACTCTCAGGTAAGGATCAACAAACCAGGACCTACCATGCAAATGTTTTAACCCCACCTATGTTTTAACCACAGTGCACCCAGGCCTTCTTATCTACACCTTGTGTGGGCTGTTTGCCTGTAGCAAGTAGCTGTAGCTTCCAATTCTAAACATTCCCTCCTAGACATTTATAGACCCAGGTCAATGGCCTCTACCCTACTTCACAAAAGCCAAGTTTAAATTAGCTAGCTCTCACTTTTTGACCTTTGTACTTGGATAGGTATGGCTCTGTGACTTGCCATACCTATATCCAAGATACCTTGGATCTAGGAAGTATGCAGGGAGTATAGGAGTCACTTCCAGACAGAACTTGGTTCCTAGATGTGTGCTATAATGTAGCTCACAGGTATCCACAAAGGGCTGGGTGTCAAGCCTTGGTTCCCAGCTTGGTAATACTGGGAGCTGTGAGATCATGCTAGGAGTTCTTAGGTCACAGGGGGTGGTCCTCCAAAAGCTACTGTCTCTCCTTCATTGCCAGCCAGAGGTGGGTGGGTTTTCTCTGACAGATGTTCCCACCTTGCTACAGCCCCAAAGCAAGTGTCCCGAATCCTCCAAAACCTTGAGACAAAACAAACTTTTCTCTTTGTAAATTGATTGGCTCAGGGATTTTGTTACAGTAGTGGAAAGCTAACTGACACAGCACAGGCCTTGGATATTAGAGCCACCAGATGGATCAGCTTGCCTTACAGTGCCCAGAGATCCTTTCAGATCATAAAGGACATTGAGTATCAATTGAGTGTGTTTGAATCCCTGAGATTTGATCCCTGTTACTTTATGACTAGGTTTTGCTAAGTAACCAGCTTATCCATACAGCTTTCTGTTAGAGTTCAATATAAGGTGTCTAAGATGTTTAGAAAAATGGCCAGCATATAAGAAAGTATACAATATAAACTAGTGAAAATGATTT